AAAAGACAGGCTGTTGTTTAATGTTCTGTGTTTAATGCTAGGGGGGTTTTCCCAAAAGTGAAGCCGTTATTTGTGTACCATTTAAAAAACCCCAGAGTTTTTAAGGAAAAAACAATGTTTGAAGAGTTAATTGTGTGTTTTTTGGGAAAAATCTAATAGAAAGGCAGGGTTTCACGGGGGGAATTTTTGTAGAGGGGTTTCAAACAAAGTGTTTGGCATAGTGTAAAAAGAATTCCCTCCTGGAAAAAAAATTTGGGGTTTCTAAAGGGTGCCCCCTTGTAAGGGGCCCAATGCACCGCTAATCCCCCAAACTTGGATAAACCTAATTCTGAAGGATTTTGGGTTCATACAGAAAAGCTCTTCCCCCCAAATTCCCACCCCTCTCCTCCCCCCATGGCCCAGCAGGTCAGGGGAAAATTTTAAAAAAACTCAAACCCCAAAAGCAATTTTTGAAAGGTGCTTGAATGTAACCTCAGACACTCGCTTGACCCTACGATTTTTTTGGAAAGAACATTTCAGTATTCTCCATTGTTTTAAGGGCCTTTTTGGTAAGGCTTGGGAGGGAGTGGATTTCCAGGACTTTAAACCTCTGCTTGGAAAAAAAATTGGGGGCCAGTTTGTGCCCCACAGAGGGTTTTTAAAAGGGTTTGGGGTGCCCAGATAAAGCCTATGTCAGTTGTTAAATCCATTGTGGCATTGGGGGGGCATCCATGGGGTTGGATGTGGTTTGGGGGGGGATTGGAAGATTTGGGTGGGGGGGCCCAACAACAAAGAGCTAACCATGGGGAGCTGCAAGAGCTTCACGGGGAAGAGCAATAGTTCACAGCCTGAATTTGCTGCAGAGGAGGAGGAAGAGAGATGGAGGAAGGGCCTTTTTCAAAATTTAAGGAAAATTTTTAAAAATGTGGGGTGGATGGAAAGTTTTAGGGGAAAGAAACATCACCAGAAAAGGATACTGCAAGCCATATCAGAAAACTTGTACAGTGACGGTTTTGGGCCCCTTTTTGGGGAAAGTTTTAAAGAGCCGCAAAAAACAAAAAGGCTTATGACTTTTTTTTGCGAGAAAAGGACTCCAGGGGACTCTAAAGGTGGTCCTTTTTGGTTTTTGAAACAGAGAGAGAAAAAAAAACCCCCAGAAAGAAATTGGTACCCGAGGGTTGGGGGAAGAGGTTCCCCCTTCCAAACATTTAATTCACCCCAATCGTCCCCTTTTCCCAGTTTTCCCAATCCAAAAAGAAGAATCCCCCAAAAAAGGAAAGTTTTATTCTGTTAATTTTTAAAATTCTCTGGCCAATGAAATTTTTTATGTACTAATCTATATTTTATGTAAAAAATTTTTTTTTTTAAATTCTTCTGGGTATGGGAACGGTTTAAATTGAATTTCCCATTTTTTCTTAGGGGGAAAAAATTGATCTTTAAATGTCCATTTGTTTTAATAGCCCCACTTCCAGGAACGGATTATGGACGATTATTTAGGGACCACTGTATACACTCGTTGAAATTTTTAAAAAACAATTCAAGCAAAAAAACTCGTACATTTTAAAAGTTGCCCAAAATTGTTTACACCCAAAAAATGTTTTAAAAAAATGTTTTTTACGATTGTTTTAAAAATATATATTCAATGTATAATACCCGGACCTTTTTAGAAGTGCTGAGCTTGTGGAATTTTTTGGGAAAAATGGGTATAAGGGGACAATGGTGTCTTCACTCCTCACACAATAAACGGGAAAATGTCTTGCCCTTTTTGTGGGTGTTTTGTGGTATGTCCACAGACAAAAAAACCTCTTCTGGTTTTTTCTTGGCAAATTAAATAGCAGGCGTGGGTTTTGGGGGGAGGGATCACCCGGGGCCCCAGGGTTTGAAGAGGACATGTGTTGATAAAATTTTGTTTGCGCTGGTTTATTGCAGGCCCTTGTTTCTTGGTACTTGAAAATTATTTGTCTGATGACTGACAAAAAAAAATTTACCCTATTTGGGTTTTTTCTTGGTCTTCAAAATTTTTACATATTATAAACATTCAGCATGGAAAGTCAAAAGGGGTGGAAAAAAAAAAGTTTTTGTACCACTTATTAAAATCTTTCAAACACAGTCAGTAACCCAAACTGGGATGTCACATTTGTCAACTAAGCGGGATATTAAGGTTGAATCCCTCAAAAAGCTGTAGGTTTTACAATGGGTTCATTGGTTCTCAAATTTTGCTTGCCCTGTGTCTACCAAATTTGGTTTGTCGGGTGAAAGAGTCAGCAGTGTGAAATCATTTGTTTATGCCCCCGAAATGCCCCTGTGTCACTGGCAGCAAACACCTTTCACTTTTAACCCCTATGATGCCTTTCATGGGAAAAAAGGCATTTGTTTACGATTTCCACGCAATTTTGCCACACACATCTGTATGTTCATCACAAGAAACACTGAGTTATAGGGTTGTGTACCCGTTGTCGTAAAATAAAAAATGCCCCTTCCAAAAATATGGCCCCCCATTTATTGTTTTTTAACCCCCAAAACACCAGAGTTTCCCCGTTTAAATTTCTGGTATCTTCCATTCTTTTACCCCCGTGTACACAATTATATCCCAAAAACCCGACCAGTTTTGCAACACACAGGAAAAAAAATAAATTTATACCAAAGGGGTTTCCTCTTTTCTTGGTTATACTGGGTTGAATGAGGTCTTCCCTTTTAAAAAAAATCAAAGACTCATCAATAACAAGCTTCCTGAAGGGATAAAAATTCATACAAACACTTTTTTTTTTTCAGTTACATTTAAACGCCCTTTTGTTTTAATAACCGTCGCCTTTTGTCAGGCCTTGGGTTTTTTCTAAAAAAGGGGGGTAAAATAGTAAAAGTAACCAAATTATTCATTTTGGATAATGGGCATGAAAGCAGGGGTTGAAAACAGGCGGTCTGTCACCCAGTTTGTGTTGAAACTTGCTTATACACAGTGGCATAAGCATTATTGTGGCAAAAAACACGGGAATCTCTGCCCCAGGTTTTTGTCCTTCCCCCTGGGGTAGGCGTGTTTGGTGACGAATAGTGTTTGCCCGGTGTACTCATATTTGTATTGTTTTTCCTGAAATAATGTCCTCAGGGGTTATCAAAAAAAAACAACCCGAAAGCATTCCGGGTTTAGTGGGATTGTTCCCAAATGACCATGATGGGGCCGTATTCCACTTTTTCCTCCCTTTAAAAATCATGGGGTTGGGAAACAAAATGTTCTTGCTGGGCCCAAACTCAGATGCCCGGGAGTTTGGGGCGTTTGGATTTTTAAAGTGGTTTTGGTTGGGTTGGGGGGAAAATGTGGGGGGTTTGGGGGGAGGCGGGGTTTTGTTGTGCAGAGTCGCGGCGGGTAAAATAGCGTGGCCTTTCTGCTGGTGTCCCCATGCTCCTTGGGCCCCCATCACTATCCCACCACCCCCTGCTGCCTCCCCTTGCAAACTTGATACCCATCGTAACAATATTTATCATCTTCACTACAGGACTTTTGGGGTTGGGCCCGGGTTGGGTCCGGATGTACTCCTTCCCCTTTGGAAAAGCATATGGCACCTACCTTTACGCAAAGCGAGTCGTATATACTTTCGCCCTTTACTGGAGAATTTTTCAAACCTTAAAGTCACAAATGAAACTGCTTTCAGTAACCTTGAAATTTTTAAATATCACTTACACTTCTCACATCAAAGTTCTTTTACATGGGCAAATAGTTTCCCTTTCGTCCCGGTACAGGTGAAAATGAAAAGAGCCGGCCCAGCACCAGAGGTGGGAAAGGGTTTTGGGGTCCCCTTTGGGTTTTCATCCTTTTTATGTTATCCTGGGTAATTTTTTGGTCACACCCGGGTTCAAAACCAGGGGAAATTTATTTTCATGAAAATATCATCACTGGGTTTAGCTATCATTGGGAACAAAAGACCTCCAATTCGCCGAGGAGTGAGGAACTTCTTACCACGAGGCATGGTGAAAATGGACTACCAAGATGGCGTTCCCACAATGCACCGCTGAGTCCCAGATTTTTTTCACAGGGTGCACACCGACAACTGAGACCCATTCTCTCTCGTGTAGGCCTACCATCCCTTTCCCGCTTGATTTGAAGCCGCTAGAATTTATGCGTATAGATACGTCAAACACGGTATCTCCCATGACGTATATATACGACCGCGACAGTCAAAGGGTTAAATGTTCTCATTGCTAAACTTTAGTCACTGGTCATGCAGTAGTGACATAACTGGAGTTCATTCCCCCCCATCCCCCCACCTTTGGATTTCATGGGGGTGACACCAAAGATTCCGCCCTGGGTGACGCCAACCCTAGCGATGCCACTGCCTATGGATGAGCCGCTACTAGGTTCAAAGTAAGAGAGAAGATCAGAAGGAGTGCAAAACATTTAACAGACTTATGTTTCACAGTCATATATACAAAGGTAATACCTTCCTGAGTTATCTACCAACCTACTGCTTGGTGTATGCTCAACATTCTTATGACAAGACAATAGTAAATTCCTGGATGGTTGCTGTCTATCAACCTAATGCCCGGTGTGTGTATATTTCATGTTCATATACCTGGATGGTTGCTGTCTACCAACCTACTGCCTGATGTGTGTGTATTTCATGCTCACTTGACAGGATGTCAGGACATACAGTGGAACCTCTGGTCACGACCATAATTCGTTCCAAAAGCCTGGTTGCAACACAATTTGGTTGTGACCTGAACCTAATTTTCCCATTGGATTGCATGTAAATACGATTAATCCATTCCAGACCCCTATACTGTTTTTTTAACCCCTATGAACTGTATGTAAATATTGTTTTTAAGATTCTTAAGCACAAAAATAGTTAATTATACCATAGAATGCACAGTGTAATAGTAAACTAAATGTAAAAACCTTGAACAGAGAAAACTAACATTGCACGAGTCCGTTCTAGACCCCTACGAACCGTTCGCTGTAAACAGTTTTTTTTTTTCTTTTAGAATTTTAAGCCTTCCCAGGCTTTGTCGATGAGGCTGATGCAATGCACAATGTTGAAATGGTTCCTCCAGAACTCCTTCAGTGTCAAAGATGTCTCCTCGGTCACATTAAAACACCCGGTGAAGAGTCCCTTAGTGTACAGCTTCTTGAAGTTGGAGATCACTTGCTGGTCCATGGGCTGCAGAAGAGGAGTTGCATTGTGGGAGATGAACTTGACCTTAATGAAGTCATACTCAATATTCATATTGGAGGGTGTGCCAGTGCATTGCCCATCAGGCAGAAGATTGTCAGCAAGATATTTCCTAGCAGTAGGAGCAAAAGATTTGTGCAACCATTCTAAAAGCAAGCTCCTTGTAGCCCAATCCTTCATGGGCAGTCTGGCCTTGTTCACACTGTGCTGCTTGAACGCCCAAGGATTTTCGAAGTGGTATACAACTAGCGGTTTAATTTTAGATCGCCACTTGCCTTCGTGCACATCAAAAAGTTAATCTGTCCTTCACTGGCTTGTGGCCAAGCATAGCCTTCTCCTGGGTTTTGTAGGTCCTCCTCGGCATCTTCTTCCAAAACAACCCAGTCTCGTCGCAGTTAAACACTTGTTGCGGGACATATCCTTCGGCCTTCACAAATTCAGCAAAATCTTTTGCGAACGCTTCTGCAGCAGCAGTGTCAGAACTAGCAGCTTCTCCATGTCTTACCACACTATGAATGCAACTTCTCTCATGAAACTTTTCAAACTATCCTCTACTGGCTTTAAATTCATCACTTTCTGCACTCGTAGAAGGGTAATTCTGCAGCACATCACTGTGTATCTTCCTGACTCTCTTGCATATGATTGCCTCGCTTATGCTATCACCAGCAAGTTGTTTCTCATTCAACCACACTAGCAACAGTTTCTCTACCTCTTCCAGCACTTGAGGCCTCTGTGTGGTTAACATTGTAACTCCCTTAGCAACATTAGCTGCTTTAACCCTTCAACTGTCCAAACGTAGATCTACGTTCACTCACGTAGTGCTCCGAACGTAGATCTACTTTTTTTTTTCCAAAAGAAAGCATGTAAAATCAAATGTAGATCTACGTTCAGAGCGCTATGCAAGTAAACGTAGATCTACATTTGGACAGTTTAAGGGCTAATAGCCACTCTCTGCTTAATAATAGTCAAAATCGTAGACTTTGGCTTCTTGAACTCCGCAGCAAGATCGGTAACGTGCACACCATGCTCATATTTTTCAATAATTTCCTTCTTCACTTCTATTTAAACTTTCTTCAAACCTTTCTTTTTACGCACATTACCACTCTTCACTTCCTTAGAGGGCATGGTTAATTGCAAAATGAATTAAAAAACAAACGAAATACAACACAAGGAGTTCACAGCAAACGAATGCACGTCTGACTGAGACCACCTATAAGGCAAGGCGTACACAAGGCGTACACAAACAACAAGAAGTGGGGAAAATTAGCACATGCAAATAAAATGGCATGGAATGTGAAAATTGGCGCGGCTGTGTTTGTTCAGCACCAGATTATGCGTTCGTGACCAGATGCAAAAAATTGGCAAATTTTTTGGTCGTGGACCAATTTGTTTGTGTTCTGAAGCGTTCATGACCAGAGGTTCCACTGTACCTGGATGGTTGCTGTCTACCAACCTTTAATACTATTCCTACCCTATGTTCTCCTAACCACCCATTGCCATGTCTCTCTCCTCCTTGTTTCACCTGAACCCTGGCTAAATAAAACATACTCTTGCATAACTTACTTGTTTGGTATCATTATCAAGATCTTTGAACATCAAGGCAGCCTTAGCCAGTAGCTCCTTCTCACTGGCCTCAGGATACTGTGACTTAACACTCTCTTCACTGTCTGCTAACCACAACTGAAGAGCCGACTGTTTTCTGACGGGAGGCTGTGGCGATGTCTCTTTTTTCCTAAATACGTTTAGAGTTTCTGTCCTGGCTGAGGCACCTGTTGTATTTTCAGACTGGCTTTCCTTCCCTGAGGTTACCGGAACATCTTCCTGAGAATTTCTTTTCAGTGTAGCTTGCTTAGTCTGAAATAATAATAATAACAAAAATGATTATAATGATTATTATAACAATGATAATCATAATAATAACAACATTTATCAAGGTTACACAACACTTCACTACCCTCAAGACACTTTTCTTCAAGGAAGATGTTAACAAGGTCAATATAAGAGAGCTGGATCCACCCATTTTATTAACACATCTACAGGATCAAACTCTCTTCCTTGCTTTGAATTAACACAAGCTCTGCCACATTAATCCTCTCAAGGGAGGTTCCTTGATGCTGGTGAAGGGCTCTTGATCTAGGGAATTGAATCTGCGCTCCAGCTCCCGGAATTGAGCCTGAATACCTTCTATCTCCCCTTCCCCAGATGCTCTGTATAATCCCTTGGGTTTAGCGCTCCTCCATGATTATAATAATCTGCCACACTAACCCCCTCAAGGGAGGTTCCTTGATGCTGGTGAAGGGCTCTTGATCTAGAGAATTTTATCTGTGCTCCAGTTCCCTGAGTTAAACCTGGATGCCCTCCATTCTTCACCCTTCCCCCCTTGCAGGTTTAGCATTCCCCACGATAGGAATAATAATTCACCACACTGAGCAAACATCTCTAGCATCCTTCCTAGAATCCTTCACACTGGCCAAGCAAGAACACAAAATGATACACACAAACACAGACAGGATCACAAAATCCAGAAAGTATATGGAAGGTGAAATTCCACAGGGTTTTCCAATTACACAAACAAGGATAAGTGGCATATATGACCAGCCAAGGCATTTGCATAGCACTCGAATGGTATAATGCAGGTGATCCTAGACAGGTTATTTGTTAAATTGTAATTAGAAACTTTTAACAATAACAATGAGAAGAAAGAGTAGTGTAAGTACAAGTGACTGTACTGAGGATTCACGCCGGTGAGACACAGATACATTTGGTTATTACAAGAAATTTCTAAACATTATACATCAGGTATCTCATAATTATCATTTCCTATATCAAGAATTTTCTTTCTCATTCCTATAGAGCTTAGGAGTTATTTTTATTTATATGAACACATAGGCTGTTTCCCACCATGGCAGAGTGGCCCAAAAAAGAAAAACTTTCATCACCATTCACTCCATCACTGTCTTGCCAGAGGTATGCTTACAGTACAGTTATAAAACTACAACATTAACACCCCTCCTTCAGAGTGCAGACACTGTACTTCCCATCTCCAGGAATCAAGTCTGGTCTGCTGGTTTCCATGAATCCCTTCATAAATGTTACCTTGCTTACACTCCAACAGCACGTCAAGACCTAAAAACCATTTGTCTCCACTTGTTTCTATCTAACACGCTCGTGCGCGCTTGCTGGAAGTCCAAGCCCCTCGCACACAAAACCTTCTTTACCCCCTCCCTCCAACCTTTCCTAGGCCAATGCCCACCCCTACCCCGCTTTCCCTCCACTACAGATTTATACACTCTCGAAGTCATTCTGTTTTGTTCCATCCTCTCTACATGTCCAAACCATCTCAATAACCCCCTCCTCAGACCTCTGGATAACAGTTTTAGTAATTCTGCACCTCCTCCTAATCTCAAACTACGGATTCTCTGCATTATATTCACACAACACACATTGCCCTCAGACATGACATCTCCACTGCCTCCAGCCTTCTCCTCTTTGCAACATTCACCACCCATGCCTCACACCCATACAAGAGCATTGATATAACTATATTCTCATACATTCCCCTCTTTGCTTTCATGGATAAAGTTCTTTGCCTCCACAGATTCCTCAGTGCACCACTCACCTTTTTCCTCTTGTCAATTCTATGATTCACCTCATCTTTCACAGACCCATCTGCTGATATGACTCACGAAATCGTAATGACACGATTGCAAACAAACCATACCCCGGCCGGGATTGAACCCGGTGTCAGGAACGGATTAATTGAATTTACATTATTTCTTATGGGGAAAATTGATTCGTAAATCGTCCATTTCGATAATAGTCCCACTTCCAGGAACGGATTACGGACGATTATTGAGGGACCACTGTATTTATGAATAAGAAATATTGTATAAAAACATAATAAATCGTAATACACTACAGAATGTAAAGAAATAAACTGTTTATATAATGTGTATAGTGTACTTACACACTTGGAGCAGAGATGGTGGGGAGGTTGAGGGTGGAGGAGGTAGAGGGTGGGAGAATGGCAGTGCAGCATATGATGTCAGTGGCCCTAAAAACCTCCAACATTGAAGGTGTTAGTTTCGTTTCATCCTTTTTCTATCACTTAATTGCTTAACTAACTTGCAACACTCTTAATGCTACACTTTATCACTGAACTTAACTGATACAATTTATTTTGTTTAATTACTGAACTTTACTGTAACAATTTGCTTTATTTCCATGGAAATCATTCTTTTTTTCTTCTCAGCACTGTTCTTTGCACTTATTTTCTTACCCATTTTTAGAAAGAAATTTGGCCAAATGACCATCCATAAAAAAAAATGCAAGCAAGCACGAGAGAACTGCTCCCACGGTGATGTTAACATGTGGACTCCTTACCAGATGTTTTGCCATCGGCTGCGCCAACTAGTGGCAGCATTCTGAATTATTACGTATTATGTATGTACAGTGGAACATCTACTTGCGAGCACATCCACATGCGGGTTATTCCAAATATGAGCAGTCGAACGGTCGATTTTTTGCTTCCATACATGAGCGAAATTTCCATAAGCGAGCAGGCCTAAGGGTGGTTCCTTGACGCTGGTGAGGGATCTCATTTGTTTGTTGGACCATCTTATTGAAACTTGGGCAAAGTATGATGGAAAGATGCTTCTTAACATACACCAAAAATGAATGAAATTGGACCATAAATAATGGCGCTCACTCCTCACCAATTAGCCTCCCCTTAGCATTGTTGTGGTAAACAATGCCATCTAGTGACAGCCTTTTGAAGCCTTCTATTATTATAATTATTATTATATAGTACATTATTATTATACATGTTTTTTTTTTTTTAACAAGTTGGTCGTCCCCACCAAGGCAGGGTGACCCAAAAAAGAGAAAATCCCTAAAAAGAAAATACTTTCATCATCATTCAACACTTTCCCCACACTCACACATTATCACTGCTTTTGCAGAGGTGTTAAGAATACAACAGTTCAGAAGCATATACGTATAAAGATACACAACATATCCCTCCAAACTGCCAATATCCCAAACCCCTCCTTTAAAGTGCAGGCATTGTACTTCCCATTTCCAGGACTCAAGTCCGACTATATGAAAATAACCGGTTTCCCTGAATCCCTTCACTAAATATTACCCTGCTCACACTCCAACAGATTGTCAGGTCCCAAGTATCATTCGTCTCCAATCACTCCTATCTAACACGCTCATGCACGCTTGCTGGAAGTCCAAGCCCCTCGCCCACAAAACCTCCTTTACCCCCTCTTTCCAACCCTTTTGAGGACGACCCCTACCCCTCTTTCCTTCCCCTATAGATTTATATGCTTTCCATGTCATTCTACTTTGATCCATTCTCTCTAAATGACCAAGCCACCTCAACAACCCCTCTTCTCCCCTCTGACTAATGCTTTTATTAACTCCACACCTTCTCCTAATTTCCACACTCCGAATTTTCTGCATAATATTTACACCACACACTGCCCTTAGACAGGACATCTCCACTGCCTCCAACCGTCTCCTCGCTGCTGCATTTACCACCCAAGCTTCACATCCATATAAGAGTGTTGGTACTACTATACTTTCATACATTCCCTTCTTTGCCTCCATAGATAACGTTTTTTGACTCCACATATACCTCAACGCACCACTCACCTTTTTTCCCTCATCAATTCTATGATTAACCTCATCCTTCATAAATCCATCCATCAACACGTCAACTCCCAAGTATCTGAAAACATTCACTTGATACCCTCATCACCTTACTCTTTTCTATGTTCACTTTCAACTTTCTACCTTTACACACATTCTCAAACTCATCCACTAACCTTTGCAATTTTTCTTTAGAATCTCCCATAAGCACAGTATCATCAGCAAAAAGTATCTGTGTCAATTCCCATTTTGAATTTGATTCCCTATAATTTAATCCCACCCCTCTCCCGAACACCCTAGCATTTACTTCTTTTACAACCCCATCTATAAATATATTAAACAACCATGGTGACATTACACATCCCTGTCTAAGACCTACTTTTACCGGGAAGTATTCTCCCTCTCTTCTACAGACATACATACATGTATTATTATTATATGCATTACAGTGGACCCTCGACCAACGATGGCATCGATTAACGATAAATCCGACCAGCGATACATTTTAACGCAAAAATTTTGCCTCGACTAGCGCTAAAAAACTCGACCAACACTATTCGTTCCGTCTGAGACGTGTCCACTTCTGGCCAGTGTTTACAAGCCAGCCAGCCACCGTGGTCACTTCCAAGCATACAAACGGAACATTTCATATTATCACAGCCTTTTTAGTGATTGCACCTGCAAAACAAGTCACCATGGACCCCAAGAAAGCTTCTAGTGCCAACCCTACAGCAAAAAGGGTGAGAATTACTATGGATATGAAGAAAGAGATCACTGCTAAGTATGAAAGTGGAGTGCGTGTCTCCAAGCTGGCCAGGTTGTACACAAAACCTCAATCAACCATCGCTACTATTGTGGCCAAGAAAACGGCAATCAAGGAAGCCGTTCTTGCCAAAAGTGCAACTATGTTTTCGAAACTGAGATCGCAAGTGATAGAAGACGTTGAGAGACTGTTATTGGAGTGGATAAACGAAAAACAGATAGCAGGAGATAGCATCTCTCAAGCAATCATATGTGAAAAGGCTAGGAAGTTGCATGAGGATTTAATTAGAAAAATGCCAGCAACTAGTGGTGATATGAGTGAATTTAACCCTTTGACTGTCACAAACCCCAATCCTGAGGTGTCTCCTGGTGTGGTCAAAATTTAAAAAAAAAAAAAAAAAAATTCTTATGAAATGATAGAGAATCTTTTCCCAATT